GTAATTGTTTCACAAGCGGATGAAAATGGTTCTAATGACGTACTAGCGCAATCAATTATCTAGATGACAAACCAGCGACTGAAATGTGTTTTTGATTTTAAGAGATTTTGAACGAAATTTTGTTTTTATTTTACAAAACTGGATGAAACTCAGTTTTTGAGCAACTGATCCTTGCTCGAGTATCCGAATCTTTTACAGGGATAAAAAACAAACGTTTGATGATGTTGAATTTGCTCCTCGCTGTTTTTATGACTTTGGTAACAAAAACTTAGCAAATAACAATTACAAACTTACTAAATAAATACGRAATATCGAATTCAATATGTTTTTTTCAATGTATTTGATTAACAAATGGAGTTAAAGACGTAAAGAAAATGTCTGCATATTTTTCACTGCAGAATGACGTCCGTATCTTCATGCTTTGTGTCGTTACCTTGTTGGTRTCCAAGCAACCAATGGCCGACGATTGTAATACTTCTTCACATAATGCCGTGCTAGGTCACGTGCTCCTTCACCACGTGATCCAGTCTTCTATTGGTACCAGTTCTATAGCCAGATGTCTTTCACATTGTAAAGGAAACCCGTTATGWCACAGCATCAACTGGTACAGTAAGACAGGTCTGTGTCAGCTGAACAAGGGAACTCACCTAATCTACCCTGCCGATTTTGTGCTAGATTCGACTGGAAGCTACATGCTGTACTGCACTCCYGATGGTTCAGTAGCATTAAGTTGATAAGGAGAACTATAAGGCTGATAATACTGCTATTCTGAAATAAAATTGATAAGATTGATATTTATCCACAATAGCTAACACTACAGCAATAACGGCAAAGTATAATAATAATTAAATACTTTTGAAAAAATGAGTTTTTGATCCGAAAACGTTCCATTTTTTGAAATACAACTTTGTCTTATGATTAAATTGACGGACGCGACCTCGAAGCTGAACTTCAGTGTGAATTAATGAATATATTAAGTACTAACTGGGTACTAACTTCTAGGGAAGCAAGGATGCATGCCCGAGYAGTGAGAGCGCTGGCCTGTCACCTCTTTGGACCCTGTTCGAATCTCGGTCGGGACACCATATATGATTTGAGGTTCTTTCGTTCTCTCCCTTGCTTCGAGGGTTATTCCGCTGGTCTTTTCCAGTTTTTCCTCCCTCAGTAAAAACGAACCATGCCGTGCTCCGCGGTCAGTCGACGTTGCTATATAAAGGAATCGCCTAGCCGGCAGCACGCCTATGTCTAAGTGTGTATGTAAAATRTGTCTGTAATATAGCACTTTGACTTGAGAGCGCGTCGAGTTGCGTCTTTCGCAATTCAGCACACGTGCTGAGCACCCAACAACCTAAGTACTACATGAASTRCAGTAAAGATGGCAGCAATTGGGAATTGTACAAATATGGCGGCATTGTAAAGGTATTTCTAACAGCATCATGATGTTATTCTCAAGTTACTTGATTGTTTGATGCTCTCACTGTAGAATTTCCAAGGAAACACAGATAGTAACAGTGGTTGCTCATCAACTGCCATCACCTATCCCAGTAACGTTTGTTAGGTTTGTGGAACTGGCTGCTTATGAATGCTTATGTTGCTATGAGGACAGAGCTGTATCCCATAGATACCACTTTTGAAAATATTACGTCATAAGCACTAATATTCCGGTATCACCATAGAAACAGTATCATAAGCACTGATATTGTTGACACTATTAGCACTAAAGTTGTTATCACCATGGAAATAAAAAACATTMGTTTATAGAAAGAGAACACATATAGCAGRAGTAGGACCAGATCTCTTTTTTGTGAAGTTTATTCAATTGAACGCGTGGTTCAAATCAGCTAAGGTAATTTTCAGACAAAGAGAGGGATGGGTGCAATGAATAATGGATAGTTTAAAACTTTCATTCTGACTTTTTTTAGTTCTTGCTATATATCCACTAGAATGACCTCTGCTCAYTTTTTACTGTCTTGAGGGATGCGKAAAATGAAATTTCTTTCAGATGAACGTCTTTGCAATCCTTTTTTTATTTTTGAATATCGTTTTAATAATGAAAATACATAATTTTTAATGACTCAAAGACTGTTTTTCAAACGAAATAGCATAATCACGAATATTGTTATTATTTATGCACGTATTACTCAAAATTCCATTAAAAACTCTGCCTGTAAATTATTCAATAAGATATGGGAAATATTTGTAATTATTATTGGTTTTGGATTGGCAGGGGAGCCTTGACTGGAACTGAGCAAGAAAAAAAAAATATAGCATCCAGCAGAGTCTGCGTTATTTTGTGATCTGGGTTTAGTTCACTAGCCTTGTGATCGCGGGATTACAGCTGCTGGGATAGACATCGAGGATTAGTCAAAGTCATARATCACTTTGGTTTTATGGGATCAAATTTGAAAAGATATTTGGGGTGCCAARACATTTTGACCAAGATTTTGATGTCGAAAAAATGGGGTCATCAATAAAAAAGTATCTATGTCGATCGTGACCCAATCAGTCATGGCGACATGACAGGGACCCTTTCCAACGMCCTATAGCAGTTAATAACACCGTTTTATATTTTCAAAGTCCTCTATCAATGTTTAATGATTTTCGCATTTCAAAGGATCGTGCTTTGACATTCATTGGTCCGTAAGTACATGACGATATCCCTCCATGCAATTTATATTAAAAAATTGAAGTTTAGAGAGGGGTAAAAGTGAGTTTTTTTCTTGCTACAATCTACGTATTGCGAACGATTTGAACCTAATTATGTGTATTACTAACTGTTTGAAGAACATTTGTGTGAATCGTTGCCAAAATTTTCAGACACGAAGAAAAAAATATATCATGAATAACTCATTAACGGCTAAATCAGTAATCACGAGAKAGGGCGGTATAATTAATTATATGTGTCTGTTCTAATAACTAATACATCGCCAAGAGAAAAACAAATCTTTGGACCTTACACGAAGAGCATAGAAGTATGGTGAGTTTTATCAACTTTTTCAGTGCTGTAGTACAATATAGCAAAACAATGATCATTGACCTCTGTATGTCAGCGGCAGCTATATATCGGTCAGTAACGGAATGGGGGTTGAGGTTGTCGATGTGTAGGGCTTGTTAAAATGGAAAACAGTGTTTCTATTAGGAGAAAGGACAACTTTCTTGATAATGACTTTTTTCTTTTCTTTCGCAAAACAGTTGTCCATATGAAGTCATACACTTCTTAAAGGCCGAATTAGACAGTACAACATTTCATACAACCATCACAATGACATGCATCCTGAGTAAGTCATCCTTGTAACATGGCTACAACTATCGTAGGTCTATTAAGCAATTGTTTAAAATCCCTACAGTTGTAGCCCGGATGAATCACGCAAAATGAAAAAAAAAAAACCTTTTATTGCGAGTAAAAAAAGGAGAAAAGGTGTATTGACATTCGTGAGCTCTCGATCTATATACACCTATTGATAACATGATTACGTGCGTTCATAGAACGAGAGTACATGTTTTAAGGTGATAGAGATTAGAGCCGCATTGTCCAAGCCTCATTGGGCTAAGAATTATTAATGTCTTAAGTATTAAACACTTATTTGCAAGCTCGAATATTGAAAGAACAACTAATGAACGCATATAGTCAACTTGCCAATTAGTCTTTTACTAATTTGGCTTCGACACATACCGTCAAGGTTAATTAATAATTATATCTAAATCGCACTTCTGAACATTGAWAATGATTCTCGGCTTTTTACAATTTTTTTCAGTAAAAATTGTTACCATGAAAAAAAAGACTGATCCTGAATCATATCGAGCCGGTTCGCTTAAGAAGCCTTCAGTTCACTTGGAATGATAAGCCGGATTTTAGAAACTGACATGCCAACTCGAAAACGTTGGACATAGGTTATGAAAACTGAAGTGTCTTTATATTTTAGCACCTCAGACCCGTGACACTTAGAAAAATATCTATTAGTAGGACAAAAAACAACTTATTTTATTCTAGAGCATAATCTAAGGTATGTTCTTTAGAACGGCGTCATCATCGTCTTTTGTTTTGCCATGTGGYTGCTATGGAAACAAATTTACGCCGACACTTGTGGTATGGCATCTTATAGAAGATCAGGTCACGTGTTCATTAATCACGTGATCCAGTCTTTTTATGGTACTCGTACTTTTATCAGCTGTCTTGACCATTGTGACGGCAACCCGTCATGTCACAGCATCAACTGGTACAGTAAGACAGGWCTGTGTCAGCTGAACAACGGTACTCACTTCTCCTACCCTGAGGGTCTTGTGMCWGACTCGACTGGAAGCTACATGCTGTACATTCCTCACCCAATGGTTGCCTGTAGCAACAAGTTCTGTAGTCATGGAGACATTTGTCTGATGGCAAAGGACGAGATCAGCTATCGTTGTCAATCTGGTAAGTAATCTAAAAGTGAAAAAAAGAAATGCGAAAAGAAAATCATTAGATATATGGCCGCGGTTAGGAGTAACAGTCAGCAAAACAATACTCACATATCCGTTCATTAGGATGCATGACAGCATTGGGGATGCAAGATGGCCGCATCAAAGAYTCACAACTAAGTGCTTCATCACAACTTCGAAGGAAAAGCGCTCCTACACGAGCTCGCTTGAACTCGACTATTCCTGACGGTAGCTGGACTCCAAAGTACAACAACAGTGGTGAATACCTTGAGATCGATCTCAAYCATACGCATATTATTAGCAAAGTAGCCACACAAGGGCGATTGCATAAACTAATGTCTGATTGGGTGACCAAGTACTACCTCGAGTACAAGCAAGATGGCGACACMGTRTGGCAATCGTACAAATACAATGGCAGTGTTGAGGTATGTTGTGTGCATCTATCATATAAGCAAAATTGGAACTCAGTACAGAGACTTGAAATCATTCCCACTCATTTCAAATATAGCCAAGTCCGTGTCATTTGAATTACTAGTTGAAAAACTCATTATAATAATTCGTGAGAGAACTTGTGCTCATGCGCAGACGACACTTTATTTTCATCYCACATGCGATAGCACTGGTTTCTTATCTACTACTAGTTCGTTGCTTATTTCTTTGCTTTAGGAACCGGATATCGCAAGACACTAACCCTAGACTCGAAAAGCACTAAGCAAATTACTTCGACGGGAATGAACAACGCCGTCAGTAGCAAAACCTGATATTGGTTGAACCCTTTAATTGATCTATAGTAATTCAAATTGTTCTCTTCTTGTGTTTCTGAACCATTGCATTAAAACCTTTTTTTCAGCCATTCAAACATTAAATAACTAATGTGCTTCTTTCCTCAGCATTTTCAAGGTAACACAGACAAGAATTCAGTCGTGTCCCACAAGCTTCGTTCGCCTATCTCTACAAGATTTATAAGATTTGTACCACTGGAGTGGCATAATAACAAAGCCGGCATGAGGGTTGAGATATATGGATGTGACGTTTTATAGATTATCGTGATAGCGGGTATAAATACCCGGTTGTAGTATAATAGTTCTGCTGTAATCCTGCTAGTTAGCCGATAAAGATAATCAAGATAATCCTTAGGGTGAAAGTTTTCCACCAAGTCTTTAGATTGATTTTAGATTTTATATCTCTTATTAGCCTGCTGAGCAATGTAGCTTCATGTTTTAGTAATAGTGGGAAGAAGGGGCGAGCCATAAGCTTGCATAGTCACGTAACACTTGGTTACACTTCTCAAGGTAGTGTRAAGGACGCTTTCCATTGGCCAGAATTGATTGGCCWCTATCCGAGCACAAATTGTTCAATATTCCAATATCACTCAGATCGGTTCGACCACCTGGCTTAAGTTGTCTTTCATCCAGTTTTCTAGTGAAAACAAAAAAACAAAAACAAAATAAAAACAAACAAAGCACACACACAAACAAACAAACTTKAGGACGAAACTCTCGAAAACAAGACTGATTCAGTCTTCCRCATGGACGATCAGTCGGCTTGATATGGAATTCATCCTAGTCGACTTTGTCCATCACAGAAGAATTAGTGTAAGGATATAACCAACGATAGCAGAAAGTCTATGGATTTCTCGTCTTCCATTATAGTAATTAAAAGTGCCTCTTTGCATCAATTTTTTCAATGATTTTYGACTAGTGATAAACACGATTATCTCGACACAATTAAATATTTATCAGTATCTGTAAGRGTGTCACTATACCGCTC